ACTGCTTTTTTGCCCTTGGTCATTCTGTTTCTCTGTTTAAGTAAGGAAATATCTCTGAAACACTGACCCAATGGGTCACCGGTTGTCTAGTGTTTTGTCTAAAAGTATGCCTACTTGTCTCCTTTTCTCAAAGCAAATGACTCTGAGCTTAAGAAAGCCTCATGGAGAATTAGAGGAGAAGCTGTATAAGATTGTGCCCTGATTTATGGATGCTTTGTCATAGTAGCCATCTCTATCATGGCAGCTCTTTTGCTCTCAAAATACCAGAGGAATCTACTGAGCCCCACAAGGCAGAGACTTCTCTGAAGGGTTTAGAAGCCCCTCTTCTCACATGAACACACAATAATAATCAGACGAGGTCCCACCATGTGGTTTTCCATCCACAGACAATACTGAATCACTGCAGTTCCTCAGTGATAGAATGCATTGCATCAGAGAACCTCTGCTGATCTCTAAGGCAACAAGTCAAAACAATATTGTTCACACATCATTTTTGCCCTGTGGTTTCATTCCTTTATTGCTGGTACTAAAATAGTTTTACTAGTTCTTATTTTAGCATTTATTTTTCTATGTGCTCTCCACTACTGACGTTTAAACACGTACATTAACATAAAAAATAAGGAAGTTCTGTCATTAGACTCTTTTGCAATTTTTATGCTTACATCTGCCATCCTACAGAGTAATTTTAAGAGATCCCCACTAGCATTTGTCCTAAAGTGGAAAGAGTCTAGAAACAAAGATGAGGGCTAGCTGTTTGCTTGTGTTCTGGTAGCATTTCCCACCAGATCAGCAACTTCTTAAACTTGAACACAACTTTTTTCGTTGGCAGTAGAACTGCTCCTGAGAAAGCAACAAATGAATTTTGGCTGCACATGCTGTTCTCCAGCCGATACATCGTTGAATTGGAACTGGCCCAACGTACTCAATTATGGTGTCATCAAACTTAAGGCAAACCGAATGCCAGACTGACCACCCAAAACATGCTTAAGTTACATAATCTTAAAAAAAAAAAAATCAACAGCCTGGCCTCCAACTGCTTTTATAATTTTTATATTGAAACAAATGCTTCATGGGTTCTACTAAAGGGAGAGTGAGCATTTCTTAGTCACAATAAAATGGTGAGGAATTAACTTACCTTTTCCAATTCTCTGGGTATTCGCATGCACGTATAGACCCTCTCTCTCCGCTCTGTGTACTTGGCTTCATTGTGTTCAAGGAAGTAACCCCTTGTTAGCTCTGCATTGATAAACCTCAGTAGAGAAAGATCTGCATCAAAAGAGAATTTCTTTTTAAAAAACTGAGAATTTTCCAGGCTATTTCTTTTCTCATTTTTTTAAAAAAATCCTCAGCTCCCACAGTGAACTACTTTAAATTGATCTAGGCCAACAAACACAGAAAAAAACCCACAAGTGATGCTATCACTTGAAATCCTATTACCTTTCCTATCAGTGTTTCTTATGTGTCATCAACGTACATCATTGCCCCATCCTCAACTGCACGGTGACATTATCTAGGATGTAGCTCTTTACTAATTGCTGCTGCCTTCCATTCCACCCAATCTTATTCAGTTCCAAGTATCTCCAAACTGAGCCAAACTCTTGGCTGGGATCCCAGAGAGCTGGTGCTACCAGTCCCTCTTGATCCTACTGGACTAAGTGAGTCATGCTGACTTAGGACCTAAGCCAACAAGACTGCTCTTACTAGGGTTACTGTCTAGCACTGCTGATTCCCTCTCTTTATTTAGAGACATATGAGGACCCAAAAGTTTTCAGAAGCAACTAAAAGCCATAAAGAGGTTAGGGACAAACCTCAGTTTGATGCTTTAGATATAACAAATAACAATGGGTCTAAATCAGGAGTATGGGGTGAAGGTGATAGGTAAATTAAAGTATATGAACAGAAGGGAGAAGAAAGGGATAATAAGGAAGGTTGACAGGTAAGAGAAATGAACTCAAAGCAACAGAATGAAATTTCACAGAGACTAGCGCAGAATACTTCATTTAGGAAAGAAAAGTCAGATGCACAAATAAAGAAGTGTATGTGCATGGGGGGAGATGCCTGGCTTAGCTATTGTACTGTACTTCAAGTTATCAGAACTATCGTTGTTCTTTTGTCTTGTGCTGTTTTTGTGTTTTTTCCCCCGTTCGTTGTTTTTAAATGTTTGAACAATTGTAAATGAAAGAGTCACTGGGAGTTGGGCAGCATATAAATTTAGTATATTATTATTAACTACAGTTCACCACAAGCTGAAGATAAATCAACAGAGTGATATGAATGAAGAGAAGAGAAGAGAAGAGAAGAGAAGAGAAGAGAAGAGAAGAGAAGAGAAGAGAGTTGTAGGTTGCATCAATTGAAGCAGTTTCCAAGTCATGGAAAATAATAATTTCACTTTATTCTATTTCAGTTAGACATTCTCCTTTGTATTTCAGTTTCTAGGCACCACACTCTTAACAAGGATTCAGACCAACTGAGACAAATTCAAAGAAAGATGAAGAGGATGATTAAGAACTGAAACTATGATAGAGGAAGTGGCTACATTTCTCCTTGAGAAGAAAGACTGAAAGGTTATAAAACCGTTTATTATTCAAAAAAAGAAATTGTTCCAGGGTGCAAGGTATGGAATAATGGGCTGAAGTTAGAGGAAAGCAGGTCCCAACTGAATACCCCCAACAACAACCTTCCTAACAGTGAAAGGAGAGAGATTGTGGTCTTCCCTTCACTGGATGTATTCGAAGAGAGAGGCTGGTCAGGCTCTGTCTTGAATACTTAAATCTGGATGCCTACACTGAGCATCCTATTGCAACTGACTACCACATTTTTGGGTTTTATATGTTTATTTTATTTATGTTTGACTGTTTTTAGATTATGTAGTTTTTAAATTATTATGTTTGTATGCCACCCAGTCATGTTTTTGTGAGGCTATATAAATATGATTGATAGATAAACAAACAAACAAATGAACAAATAAAGCTCAGGGGAAAAAAAATTCCAAAAAGTCATAATTATTACGAGCAAATGTTAAATGATTTGGCTGTTTGCTGTATCTCATCTAGCAAACTTTTCTGGACACAGACCTGCCAGTATGTACATGATATTCAATTCTTATTCAATGAGGAAAATGTGGCTATTCCTTGAAACATCAGGAAGCATCAGGATATCCAGAAACCTCAAAAGCACTCTGGAGCAAATTCAGAGTGACACAACCAAGTATATTTTCCACATTCTCCAATATAAAACATCAGCCTTACCAGCTCCTATTTTATCACTTCTATAAAGCAAAGCACATAAGAGATATTTTAAATACCCTTTAAAATAATGCTCTGGACAAAAATATCGAATTTTGCTCTTATGCTGTAATTTGGTTTTTGATCTATGAGTGCTATTTTGAGGAACAGTTCACTGTGCCCATCAATGCACTGTATTATATACTATCCCATTCTCTTCCCTTCCTTTGGTGCTCAGAACATTAGACTCCTTGCTAACAATCAATTAAAAAAAAATCTATTACTCTTCCAAAGAAATGCCTTTAAATCTTTAATTAGGCTTTTTCTGTGGTAGCCCCCACTCTAGGGAATATCTTTTACCCAGAAGTATGTACAGTACCCACTTTGCTGATGTTTCAGAAACATCTCAGTTCCAGACCTATGAATCTTTGGCCCCAGTTGACTGGGTATGGGTACCAATCTTGAGTTTGTTTTTAGTTTTTGATTTTTTTTATTGTGATGTAGTTTCTTTTTGTTATTTGTTGTTGTACGCTGCTCAGTCCTCCAGAATGGGGACAGGCTCTAAGTACCATTAAATCAAATACTTATGTATTAGGCAAGAATAAGCCAGGAAATCACATGCTGCATCCATGACTATGTCGAAATGGCTTCATGCACTGAGTTACGCCACTCCTTCTCTTTGCATGAGTCGGCAAACAAGCCAGAAACTGTATGTTCCTTTATATTTAATCTGGGAGACTGTGGTTAACAGCTTTGGAACAACTGGGCTACAAAGCCATGGTTTAAAATTAATCATGGGATAAGCTTCATTTTAAAGTTCCAAATCCATGAATTACACTTTCCTAGAAATTAATCTAGTATTTGTCCAAAAAGAAAAATCTGCACATGCAGACACTACAGATTATTAATGGCTGAAGACCAATTTTGTGACTGCGGTTTGTACACTGGAATTATTACAAACAGGTTCAAATATTTGCACAAGTTTGTAAGCTGCAGGTTTATTAACAAAATGTACACAAGCAATGCAATAAATAAGTCTGGCTTCCACCTGTGCCGAGGTGTTTGTGACTCCACAGAATACTGGACAAAAACTGCAGACTGTACAATCTACCTAAGCATAATCAGGAGCATTAGCTCTAAATCAAAAATCAGTACTCGTTTTCTGTTCCTCTAAAACGTGGTTTAATTCAAGGTTTCTTATTAAAACCAAGGGTTATTACTCCTGTACAAACATACTCGTTTTCAATCCTGGTTTAGCTGAATCACAAGATAAAGTCAATTATCATTTATGGTATTTGACCAGTTACATTCCAATTATTTTAAGGAATGTGAAACCAGACAATAAGAAAGTGAGCTGGCAGACAAACTTGGTTCTTTGCTAAATTTCTATCCCATGTTTCCCCAGGAGTCAAGGTACCTTACATGAAAATTCCCCTTCATTTCATCCTGACAATGGCAATCCTGTGAGATAGGTTAGGCTTGCCCAAAGGGTGTCCGTGGATAAGAGTAAATCTGAACCTGGGCCTTCTTATTCATAGTCTCAACATGTAATCACTACACTACATTACAGTATTATACAGGCCAATTCTTATGGGGGGCAATTGCTACATTTTACTTAATAAAGACTATCCTGAGTATTTGGAACCTGACTTTTATTTTTTTTTAGTTTATTTAAAAAAAATTAAATACACACAAACATATAAGCAAATACACTGTTGTATAAAATAGGTACTGGATGTTATATCCAAAAGAGGTTCTAGCACAGCAGGTTCTCACAACAGAAATTGAGGATCAACTATTATTAAATTAAAAGGTAAAAAGTCTCTATCACAGCCATTGGTCACAAAACCCAGCTTGGTAGGCATCATATTTAACATTAAATTTGGTGTGAAACACCGAAAGTGAGAGAAGAAGCCTACCTCGTACCATGTATAGGACCAGGATTTTTATTCAACAAGCACTTTTCAAGGTGTTAACTCTTCTTTTTGAATAAACAAGATAAATGGACCATTTTACTCATGAAGCAACCGAATAATTTAAGAAAAGAAAATGCATAACTTTAGTCCTGGGAAAAATGTCAAAGTACAGTAAGACCCTGACTTAGTGCCAGATCAGGATGTATGATCTTGGAGATTAAGCCATTCCTGAATCAGTCTTTGATCTGAACTAAAAGCCAAAAATGAACTGAGGCCCCAAACTTAAAAACAGACAACTAATGCCTGTGCCAAATGTGCTGCACCTGGCTTTGAAGAAGATCCATCGAGGTACTATCGGGAGGCAGACAGACATTCAGTGGGTTTTGCAGCACGCCACTTATTTCCAAACCCAACTCAAGGTGTTGCTTTAATCCTTAAAATCTTGAATGTCTTGGAAGCCAAATACCACAGCCAACACATCTCTCCCAAACTATCTGATCAAATGAAAGCTCCTCCAATTTTTTTTCTTTTCCAGTACTGATTCTTTGAATTTGAAATGTCTGGATAGCACAGCTGCCAGGATCTGTGCTATCTTGGAAGCAAGGACAGAAAGGAGTGTTCCCAATTTCAGCCACCATTATTTGTTCAACCCCCTTTCTAATATTTTGCTACTTCTTCCAGTTCAACGCTTTGATTCTCTAACCGCACCCAAATGGAAGGCAAACAACCGCTGCAGTAGAAATAAATGCCCAGTTTGTGCTATGTGGATTTTTAGGTGCCAGCAACATCTTTTCACACACTACTGAGGAAAGCAGGTGTTTGAGATGTTCTAGCATGTTCATTGCCATTTTAATGGATGCAAGTAAATTGGCAGAATCTTGGGGTTTATTTCTTTCACTGTGACAAATATAATCTCAATATTAATCCATGCATGATATAGGAATGCCTGAAATGGGATCTTCCTATCCAAGGTTAATTTCTACACCCAATGAAGAGCAGAGGGTCCTTTCAGAAACACAATGTAAAAGTGCTTCATTAAAATAAATCGGTTGAAGCAGTGAAAGCATCAAGTGGGTTACAGCTTTCTTTTGAAGATCACCCTGGAGGCAAACCTTGACATCCTTTTTTCCA